TTCCAGGTACTTGCTGTCACACTGGACCTGTGCCCTCCCACGTCACCTCATGTCATGCCACAGCCCCCAAGGCCACAGCCCAGCTCTGAATGGGGAGGGAAGACGAGGGAGGAGGGATGAGGCCACCAAAACACATTCAGGCTGTGAACTTCCCCTCAGCCAGGGGCTGGTCCCGTGGCCTCAGTAAACAGGTTTTAAAACCATTAGTCAGCACTTTGGCCCTAAGCTCTGCTGCCTCAGGTTCTCAGTCCCCAAACTGGATATCCAGGGTACGAGACCCTTGCCGAGGATGGCCCTGCTGCCAGCCCAGGGGCCTGGAGCTGTGGGGGAACCCAGGAGCGGCCTCCTGGGCCGGCTAAGCCTGAAGTGGCCTCATCAGACAGGCCACTGCCTCCCTCCTACCTCCTGCCCCCAGTAGCAGGACCAAACAGCCAGCAAGAAGGAATCTCCCTCAGCCCCTCCCCTCCCCTCCCCCAGTCTGACGCACGGAGAAGCCAGCCAATGCCAGGCTGCTGGAGCACTGTCAACAAACAATCACCCAGCCAGACAGGTGGGCCAGGCTGCTGGGATTGCCTGGGGCCTGCGCTGGGGACAACACTCACTCAGGTCAGGGCCACTGGGTCAGAGCACTCATCCTACCCATGGCCCACCACTGGCGCCTTTGTCAGTCCGCCAGCCAGAGAAGGTGGGGACTCTACGACATGCCCAGAGGAAGCCCAGACAGAGCCCTCTGGCCTAGGCAGGCCAGACAGCTGTCTACATACAGGGGCACCCAGCTCTTTCCCCAACACAAGATGCTGGCCTAACACCATCCACTACGGACCAGGGTCTCCAGCGCCTGGCTGGCCTGGGCTCTATCCTCTGGGGTCTGAAACTGTGCACAGGCCAGCCTGGGAAAGTACCACACCCCCTCCCCACAGCGACCACAGCCCCAGCCTCACCTGGAAGTCATACAAAGCCACGATATTTTCATGTTTCAATTCCTAGGGCAGAAACCAAGTTTCTTATGAGCGAGGCGGGCTCACCCACCACTTCCCCTCCCGCTTCTCATGCCAGCTCACCTTGAGGATCTTGATCTCCTTCCCCAGCAGAGTCTGGGACTTGGCCAGGTTCTTTTTGTTAATACACTTTACCGCGACCTCCAGGTCGTGCTTCTGAAAACAAAGCAAGGACGTTCTTCATGGACTGGGAACCCTGGAACCCCTGGAAGGCCGCCCACAGGCCAGGTAAGCACCTGGCAGTGTAGGTGGTGGGGTCTCCCGGAGGTGTGGGGATGAGGGGCCCCTGAAAGATGTGGGAAAGGCATGAGAGGGCCTTGGGGCTCCCCAGGGATGTGGGGGTGGAGGTCCCTAGGAGATGTGGGGGTCCCAGGGGATGTGGGGATTCGAGAATGTGGGGCTGGGGGTCATTGGGGGTTGTGGAGATGAGAGGATGTAGGGATAAGGAGGTCTCCAGGGGTGTGGGGTCGGGAGGGGGAGGTGGCGGGATAAAGGAATGGGGTTGGGGGTCCCCGGAGTTGTGGGGGTGAGTGGATGGGATGAAGGGCCCCCAGGAGCTGGGGTGAGGGTGGGGTCGTCCTCTCCGGGCCTCGCGGAGCCGCCGGCCCTCACCTCGCGGTGGCGCCCCTTGAAGACAACCGCGAAGGCCCCGTGTCCGATCAGGTCCTTGCGCGAGAATTCGAATTTGCCCACGGCCTCCAGGCCGCCGCGGCCGGGCTCCATGGCGGGCGGCGGGCGCGCTCAGGCGGCGGCACCGGCCGGGGGCGGCGGGCGGGGGCCGCGCCCCATTGGGCAGGCCGGCCCGCTGCCTGCCCCACGGGCCACTCAGGGCGCTCCTGGCCCGGGCTGCTAATTCGAGACAACCCCGGCTCCGGCTCGGTCTACGGCTCCGTGTCCAGCTCCGACTCCAGCCGGGAAACAAAAGAGCCGGGGCCACAGGGCCCGGAGCCTGAGACGCCAGCGCAGGCGCAGTGCGCGCAGGGGGGGGGTACGCGGGGATGAACGGGGGGCGGGGCCCGGCGTGGACTGGGCTGCTTGGGGCGGAGCGGGGCTGCTCCGTGCGGCGCGAGCCTGGAGGACAGAGGAGCTTAGTGGATGGTGAGGCTGGCGGTGGCGGGGCCCTGAGTGGGCGTGGCCTAGAGAGCGGACGCGCTGAGTGGGTGGTGGGACTGCTGGGGCGGGGCCGGGAGCGAGCCCGCCTCCTCGCCGGCGGAAGGGTAGACCAGGTATCCTGGGCGAGGGTGGCCAGTCTGTGAATCCCAGAGGTGCATATTTTCTTGTCTTGCTAAGGCTGCCATTAATATCTGAATGTGGCATGTGTATCCCAGGTCTAGGGACTCTATAGAAGAAATTGTTAGAGATGAGCTGCGTTAGACGTTACACACTGAAAATGCCTTCCTTAGTAACAAATTGTCCACCACACTGCACCAAAACCTAGGAAATAGCCCACAAGTCCATCAGAGAGGAAAGGTTAGATAAATTATGGTGCATCCTTTCTATGGAATAATGCACAGCAAATTCTCAGACACAGGGTTAAATATATGTAAGCAGCTCCAATGTAATTAAGTGAAAGCAAAATGCAGAACAGGGAACTGAGGTAATATTTGTCATTTTAAAAAGTCACTAGAGGGAGGTGTGTATATACAATAACTACATGTGTACACAGTTATATGTATGTATATTCATGTGTGTAGTACACAGTAGTATACTGAGTAAGTATAGTATGCAATATAATTATAACAGCTAACCCACTGTTTACCACACGCCAGGCCGTGGTCTTTCCACATATTAACTCATTTATTACTCACAATGGTTCCATGAGATACTTGCTATTATATCCTCATTTTGGAGGTGAGAAAATTGAGGTGCGGAGAGGTTAGGTAATGTGCCCAAAGTCACACAGTCAGCAAAAGGAGAAAGAGTCAGGATTCTCACATGAGAAAGTGTTAACAGTGGTTGCCTTGGTAAGGGTCAGTCCTTTCATAGTACATGTTGAGAACTAGTGTTGTTAGAGTAAGTAGATAACCAGACATGAGCAAGGAGGGGATTGGGGACTTTGGCCAGGGTTTATATCTGGCTAGATGCTTGTTTATATTCTTAACATTACGTATAAACTGTTCTCCTGGGATGTGGGGAGTGAGGTTATAGATGACAGACCTGCTAAGACTAACTGGTTCCAACAAGGAGAAATTGATCCTGACTTCACCTCAAAGTACATTATATGCTTATCAGCATACTAAAAACTACCCCCTTTAGCACCATGACAATTCCAAGGAA